CTCTTTCCAGCAGAACTCATCAGCTATGAATGCTGCATAAGTGAGAAGAGTGGAGAGTCTAGTCCTTTCTGGTAGAATGAGTACTTTCCAATGAAGTATTTGGCACCTAGATGGTATACTTATGAGTACATTAGATATGCATGCCTGTATACTTCTGCTCTTTGCTTTCTCCTAAACTTTTTAATTACCTGTAATAATACTTAAGTACCCCTGTAATATTACCTTCCCCCTATTAAGCATAAGGAATAATGTAAATAGTGTGGTGATTTTTATGCACGGCCATCGGGTGGGGGTAACATTCTCAGCAGCCATGCCACAAATTAGCCCTGCACCTTCCCCAAGGGCCACTCCGATCCCCTTCCCCTGCCTGATCTGCTGCTCTGCTTTCTGCTTCCAGTCCTCTGCTCCCTGTTTCATTTGTTGCTTTGTTTTCTCCATCCTGTCCTATTTGCCACTGTGCTGCTTGCCCTCCCCAATCTGCTGCATGCCCCGCACAGAGACTGCCCATGCCACTTGTGGCACCCATGCTGCAGGTTGGCTACCCCTAATATAAGGCGTAGCTGGCTACTCACTGAAGCAAATCACTTCTATGCTCCTTCAGCAGTCATTCCACTGAATGAACCTGTTAGGTTCAATAGCACAGCATATGGCTTCTACCAAGACACTTCTAGAGCCTTCAGCATTTTCTTATAACTGATAATGAGAAAGGCCAGGAATAAAGGTCCAACATTGTGTTTGGTCATACAGATTTTCTCATGACCAGACCAATCTTCCCTATCACCCAATTTAGGGCCAGGTCCCCATTTGGTGAAAATCAGCTTATCTTTAAGCACATGTATGCTTAAAGGCAGCTGTTATGCATAGTCTTATTTAGTATCATATTAAAAATCCATGGGCTTTCTTCCCCAGCTCAGGACCCTGACAGCTTCCCCCACTTTCTTGCTGTCCCCTAGTTTCGTGTTGCTATCACTGCTTCTTGAGAGAATCAAACAAGGGGTTAAGAAAGCAGAAAACAAGAGGTGCTGTCAAAAAAGGTTGATTTCCTGTTGCATCTGCCTGACTGTTCTTTTAATTGGGGTAGCAGGCAGACAGGCAAGCAGTGGGGATTTGAGAAAGAAAAAGGAAAGGGAAAAAAGACATAACTGAATAAAAACAAGAATGCAGATCACCCAATAAGCAATTAAAGGAAATCAAAGCTAAGCCCTGACTGATTTTTGTGATTGAAATAAACTTCTCTTCTGGAAAATCCTCCATAACAAACCCGTTATTCAAACTTCTGAACTGATGTGCTTAGCACCTTCCCAAATTACAACAAAACAGATGTTCTTGTCCTTGATCAGAGTGAGTAAACACCAGATACCTTTCTTGGCTTTTGTCAGATACACATTCTTTTTTCCCTAATCTCCTGTGTTCAAAGTTCCCTTTTTTATGCCATAAAAGCATATGAAGGTTCTTATCACTTTAATTCTTATTGCATATTTACATACATATCTTTTTTTATCTTTCCCAAAATGTACATCTGTGTGTATACAGCTGGAGCAGGAAACATGGGTGTTAAAGTGACATCAAAATAGACTGAACTAAACTGTGCATGTTTAAGGATACAATTCCTACCTTTTGGACCTAGAGCCAAGAGCATTTGCAGGGTAGTAAGGTCCATCTTTGACCTAGTCTCCCCATGTTCTAAGCAGCCAGATTGGACACAGATTTTGAAAGCTGTCTCTGCTGCTATGTTTAAGATGGTGATAAATACTCAATGGCCATCCACCAAGGAGATGCTGCCTTCAAATGAATAATAAACCTTTGAATTATTTCTTATATCTTCCACAGACTGGAAAAAGAAATAGAGAAACTAGAAAGTGAAGAATCCCAGATATCTGCCAAAGAACAAATCATCTTGGAGAAACTAAAAGAGACTGAAAAATCATTTGAGGACTTACAAAAGGTATGTAGTGTCAGAGAGAGCCTGAGTCCAAGGCAGATGTCTTAATACTGACTGAAAGTAACTGATACAGTATAACATGCCTATTAGGGGTGTGCAAAATGGGATGTATTCAATTCTGATTTGGCCCAAATCAGGGACAGTGATTCGATTCGTTGATTCATATCACTGTCCCCCATTCAATTCGGCTGAATCCGAACCTGAAGATTCAATGCTGATTCAGAGAATCAGCGATTCGGCTATTGACACAGCTTTAAATATTTTTTCTACATACCTCAAGGTACCAGGCATGGTTTGTGAATGCTGCAATGCTGGGGTGGATGGAGCATCCCACAGGAGCGCGGGGGGGTGGGCTCCTGCGTGCTCAGCAGCGAACCCAGAAGTACTTCTGTTCCATTTCTGGGTCCACTGTCAAGCACGCTGGGGGCCCCCTACTCCTCCCTGGCTCAGCAATCAGCCGTGGGGGAACCCCAGGTGCCCCCCAGACCCAGGAGGCACCAGTCATGAGCCGGAGGCATGCGGGGACCCCCCTGTGTGCTCCCCAGTGGACCTGGAAGTGGACTGGAAGTGCTTCTGGTCCACTTCCTGGTCTGCTGCCAAGTGCATTGGGGACCCACCCACCCCCCATGTTCCTGTGGGATGCTCCATCTGCCCCAGCATCTCAGCATTCACAAGCCACCTGGTACCTTGAGGTATGTAGAAAAAACATTTAAATTTGTGTCTATGGCCAAATCATCAAATCTTTCCGAATCTCTCCGAATTGATTCAGAAGGTTCTGATTCAATTCGGAGAGATTAAAGGGTCTCCTGATTTGATTTGGATTCAGAGATTCAGCCACCAAATCGGGCTGAATCTCCACCAAATTGAATCAGGGACCAAAGCTTCACACAGCCCTAATGCCTATGCAGAGGTGGAGGATAGCAATGGAGGGCACAACCATTACTAAGCTGAGCAAGACCAGAAAAAATGGTGATTAGCCTTTGTGGTAGAAAGGCTTCTCTCCATTTCACAGGGCGAGAAAAGATAGAAGTCCTGCAGCCACCATGAAGGACACAAAGGAGACTAACAGGCTAGTTGGAGAGCAGTCTCTCTTATTCACTTCTACAGCTTCTATGTAGAGAATCTCTTCTGTTAGTAGCTCTCCTAGTATGTATATTCAGCAGGCTCCCACTCTAATTGAGCCTGAGGTCCAAATCACATGCCTCATACCTAAACATTTGCTTCCCACTTTAATCAGTAGGTGCAGTCATCTAAGTGATGGCACGCAGCATTGAACCCACATAAAGCAAGCTCATTTGGCAATTAGAAAATTAACCAACAAGCTGAGTAGGCTGCTAATCATCCTATCCTTTCACCCTCTGGGTTGTGAACAGCTGAGCAGAGGTTGAGCCAAGGGTGAGTAACAAGTCTGAATGAGATGCAAACAGCAGAGGCAGGCTGTTCCTGTTGATTTAGCAGGCACATTCATATCAGTCTGAGCTGTGTCTTATATTGAAGTCAGTGGGATTAGACAAATGGCTTCCCAGTTTACCCATGGGCATCTTGACTGGCTTACACTGTACTCCTCTATTCTAACCACCCCTATAGCTAAGTAGCCATTTCCTTTTCCAAGGAGTTTTGCACACAGCAAACACAGATAAAGAATCTAGAATAACACTTCAGTATTTTACATCACATGAAGACTTAATCAAGCCCCATCTTTTTGTCTTTACAGAGGTTCTTGCAGCAGGATGGTGGTAAGTGTTTATACCATGATTAATAATTATAGTTTTAGTGGGTGATTTGTAATAAAATACTGCTGCTAATTGTTGCAGGATGAGGATTATTGCTAGTATTTAGGGCAGGGCTGTCCAACTTTAGAGTGGCTGCAGCAGTCCTGGGCCTTGGGCCACACACCACACAGGCTGCACACTGTATGGGTTACCAGGACCCCTACCATACAAACAGAACGAGCCCTCCTGCGACACCATGCCAGTGAGCTCCCCTCAACCCCACTCCCCAGTACTGCCTCACAAGCAGCATGCCCCCTCCCTGCCACGTGGGCAGTGGGTGTGGCTAGCAGGCAGGCACCACGTGGCCTGGATGCTGCCCACAGGCCACCAGTTGGACAGCCCTGATTTAGGCTGTCTGTGATTTTTTTGATTGAAGCCATTAAGTTTTTTGCTTTGCAGTTATTTTATCACATGAAGAAATTGTTCTACTGTTCATTACGCTTTACAATGTTTTTGTGTCAAACACATGTGGGGTTAAGTTCTACTGTGTTACATTTGAATAAACCATAGAAATGCTTTTAACTTTAAATATGCCTATGCTTATGTCCAGCATTTTCGGAATGTTGCTTTATTTTTGGGAGCAAGACTCATATAGAACTTGAACATGTTTCCTAGTGATAAATATGAAAGCTCTCTGCAGTCCCCATTTTAGGATTTTGAAACGCCTGCAGAAAGGACCGCATGATGAAGTGTAACCCCATCAGATGGAATGATTCTTTTGATTGGGTTGGTTGATGCAGACATAAGTGTTGGAAGGCTTTTTCTTTGCCCTCAGTTCTGAGCCCAGTGCATATTTTGTCTACTACATATTTCCTCTACATAATATGCTTTATTTAGTTGCTTATATATCACCCTAGAGTTTTATTTCCCCATGTACCTCATTCAACAGCCTTTGCCATGTCATTGACAAGAAATAACATTCTCTGAGGCACAAAGATGCTTCTTTTGACAGACCATGAACCAGACAGATAATTTGATCGCATAAATCTTAAGACAAGAGGTAGTGTAGCACATCATATAACTGAGGTACTGCCTTTCTATTAAGTCAGTCTTGCTGGCATTAGCCTAAAGAAAGCTACAAGGCTAATGGCATTCCATATTATAGAAAAGTGGCCTGGAAGGATACCTCAGGAGGTCATTTAGTCCAGCCCTCTGCTGAAGGCAGGACCATCCCTATCTAAGCCATTTTATAGAATTGTTTAATCTAACCTACTAGTACTCTTGAAACAGCATAAGCAACCTGCATCCAGAACTGCCAGGCAAAGTACCTAAAACCTGAAGTTGCCACAGGTAAAGCAAGGGAGCAACATCACTGCCAATGTCATGCCACTGCAAAGACAAGAAATAGTCACGAACTTTTACTTTCCACAAAAGAGATTTTAAATTTTCAGGAAACCTTCCTTCCCAGCTTGTGCCAAGAGCTAGAGAGAAAAAAATCCTGGAAAGAAAAGACTGCAAAATAAATTACATTTTAGTTTTCCCACAATGGATTTCCTTCACACTCCCAGGGCTGCCCACCTATTGGCAAACTGCTGGCCCAGTTAGCTAGGAAGCTTGGAGAACCTCTTGCCCAAGGAGTTGTATCTCTAGGGGAACTGGGGAGTCACCTGCTGCACAGTCTAAAGCTCCAGCGGGTCATCACAATGCCTGCTTTCCATCAAAAGTTTTATCAAAGGTGACATGTTCCCATGGAATATTTTCAGATTCACAAATTGGAATTTTCTAATGGAAAAAAAAATTCTATTGGAGAATGTTCCTCTGGTTTTGAATGCATATAATATTAATTAAAGCCAGGAAGGGCTTAAACAGCCAAAAGAGCCATCATACATTTACCACCTTGACTTCAATACTATATGCTGCCCAAATGCTGCAAATTCTCTTTGCTTACTATAAAAGCAATTCTCCTTCAGTTGTCTGTATTCGCACAGTGTTCATAAACAGTTGAATAAAATGAGGACTCTTTTTCATTTAGATTAATAACCTGTTTTGAGTAAGTTTAAAATTACTTCATCAGTGAATTATATTGTGTGTAAAAACGTCCATGTAGTTAGAAAGCACTGCGTAACAGGGGGCCAGCTCCAGGCCAATCTCACTGTGACCCGCCCACCTGTTTCTGGTCTAACCGCCTGCCTTCCCGTCCATCACGCCTTGTTGTTAATTCATTAATTGATGTTAATAAAGCGGGAGGCTGCCCATTTCTCGCCCTGACGCCAGAGGGTGTTATCTGCGGCTCCGTTCCTCCCCTACACCGCAGCCCAAGCCTCACAGTTGGCATCCAGATGTTATCCATATCACCGGCCCCACACTGTGCCCCAGAATCCTACTAGTTGGACCCCACTTAGATCCCTCTGTTCAGGCAGCCTATTCTGCCTTCATTCCTGGCTGCATAACTCCCTGAGTTGCTTCCCCCTTATGGGTCTGGTCCCCCTGGGACCTTTGGCTCTACTAGCCCTGGCCCACCTCCAGGCCAGCCGGAACCCCAGGCCCTCGGCTCTGGGTGTCCCTCGCTGTGGGCCCCTGGCCCTTTGACCCTTCCGGTCCTGGCCCCAGCTTGGACCAGTCGGGGGATGTCAAGACAGGTTAAGAGTCTATGGCCCCACTCTCTCTCTCTCTCTCTCTGTGGTCCACTTTCTAGGGGGTAACCCACCTGGTTGTGGGGGCTAGGGGTTAAGGTGCCCCGACCCGCCTTTCACCAGGGTGGTAACTGGCCTGGCATTTCCTGGGGGCTCCCGCACCACTGAGAGCCCCACCAGGCCACCCACTCCTAGGAGGGTACAGTTTTAGGTCATGCCCAGGACCAGGAGCCTCCTGACCATCCCCTACGGCTCCTCCCTTACCTCCAGATGATACCTGCAGCTAGGCAATGTTGTTACCTGGCCTCCCAGCAGCAAAACTGCCCCATTTATATGAATCTAAAATGGCTGCCCTCATCAGGCACCTGCTGGCCGCTGTCTTCTGGCCCTTAAAGTGGCAGGCACAAACAGTGCCCTGCCACACACTGCTTTGATGGATGTGTACAGTAATAATTAGTTTATGGATTCAGTGACCCAAATGCACCCGATGAGCCTGAATACTGAACTTTGCATTTAGGTCAGCAAGTAAGCGTAAAAGCTGTTTAAATTAACGTGTTGCCAGACAGCACTTTAAGAGGTAAATGCACTTGAAGAGGAAGCCCACACGTGTTGTGTTTGACAGCATCTATCTACAATAACTTGCACTCCAAACACTGATACTTGATGCACATCAAACTGGTAGGACATAAAATACCAAAGTTAAGACTATGAGCCCTCCATTGGTTGACCCAGGTCTTCATCTGTAAATATAGATGAAGGATATGTGGAATGGTCCAAATATGGGGCTGTATGGAGAGCTTTATGAGTGGGGACCTACCAAATTCACGATTTTGTAGATTCTGTGAAAACTGGCATTGCTGATGAAATCCAGGCAATGCTTGCAAAATCCATGGAAAAAAAACCTACAGAAAATAAAATTCTGGCTCCTCAAAAGGAGCCAGCAGTCCTCAGCATTCTGCAGCAGCCCAACAGGACAGAAAAGAGGGGAGGGAGGGCTGCCCACTTGAACAGCTGTGGACAAGATAGCTGCCACCACTGCCTCTCACCACTGATTGGCTGCAAGGGCCACATGTCATGTGGCCCCACCCCTCTCCACCAATTGGCAGCAAGGGGCAGGGCTGCATGATGGACAGCCCTTGCAGCCAATCAGCAGTGAGGGATGGAGCCATTGGGGCTCCTTTGCCAATCAGAAGTGTG